TGACGGTGGGCAGGCCGCTCAACCTGCTGGGACTGGACTGGCGGATGGCGGGGTAGGGGCGGGACTGGTGGCATGTGTAGGTCGGGGATGTCAGGAACCGAGATGTTTGGAGCTATACTGACCACCACATGACGCAGAGCCGTAGCAGCTGCCAAGAGCTGGTCAAGCTGCGTCTGGAGCTGACGATCACGCTCCTGGAACTGACGATCACGCTCCACGATCCTGGCCTCGAACTCTTGTCTGAGCTCCTCTCGCAATTCCTCTGAAGATGAGGAACCCGGCCGCTTCGCACTCGCATGAGAGCTCCCAGCAGTATATGAAGGGCCAGCGCCACTTGAGCGGGGCAGCCTAGTCGGTGTAGGTCCAAGTCCAAGCCCGCTAACTCGACCAGGGTGCTGCGGCCGGCCAAGACCCGCTAAAAGTGAGGCGGTGGGATCCAAGGCAGACCCCTGAGACTCACGCAACTCGGAATCGACCTGAGTCATCCGTGCCTACCAAAATTAATATAAAGAAGTTAATTATAATATAATGATATCTACACTGTGATATTATATTAATATTTAATTTATTACTTACCGCTATCTCCTCAACCTCATCCGACGCACGCCCGTCTCGGGGTCTATACACCATCGGCCACATCTCGCCATAAGTGGGCGTGTATCCCCGCTCCTGCTGCGTCTTTTCTATCTGTAAATGAAATCAAAGAAATAATTAGTTACAAATTAAATACATCTACATATTTAATAAATTTATTTCAAGTACTCACAATCTCGTCATAAGTGATCGCAAAGCTCCTGGATCCAGCCCTATGACGTATCGTCTGATGCCTGACGCTCCTAGCATTTCTCCTAGAAAGAGCCTGAAGCAAAATGTAAAAAAATTAAATTAAATGAGTCAAGTCGGATAAAAAATAAAGAAATTATAATTAATACAATATTATCATACCATCTGGTCAGCCGTCATCCTAAAATAGACGTAAGTAGACCAGTCTTGGTCCGGGACTCCACCAGGTACATCTGCCAGTATCTCCTGGAGGGGCCTCGTCCCGTCACCTTTCTTCTCCCTCCACAGGTCGGCCCTCCTGTTCTTCCATGCCATCCCCAGCCTCTTGATCGTGTCAGCCCTCAACTCCTCCCCCAGAATAAATTTACTCTATGATTAAAATAATAAATTAACTAAATAACAAATTATAAACAAATAATTAAGCAATTTCAATAATTAAAAACAAATAATTAGTTTTTAACTAATTTAACAATATTATAAATAAAATATAAATTAATCAAAGTTTAATAATAATTAAACAATTAAGTAATTTAAATAAAAAAATATTTTTACTCAACTAAATTTAAAATTATTATAAGTAATAAATTAATGAAATCAATAACAAATTATTTTCATTTAACTACTTTTAAATAATTTAAATTAAAAATATATATTCATTTAACTACTTTTAAAAATATTATAAATAACAAACAAATTAAATAAATAAAAAATTATAATCAAACAATTAAATTATTTGAAAACAAAATATATAATCATTTATTTAAATTAAAAAAAATTATAAATAACAATTTTATATTACCTTCATTATTTCCCAGCCTTGCTGCTTCTTGTCTGAGGTGATCTTCTTCCAGTCCTGCACGTAGATGGGGAACAGCGTCCACTGCTGACCAAGGAGGCGCACGTACTTGTTGTACAACTGGCCACCTTTCTTCGTCGGTTGGCCCAACTCATTGAGCGGCACAACCACTCGTCCGCCCGTCATCATAGACAGCTCTCTGGCTGTCAGCCTCCGATAGGACCTGTTCCCCTCAGTGTCTACAAAATTTAATTAAGAAATAAATTATATATCAATAAATTAATATAATTTCTATATAAATTAAATACTGATCAAAACTTTAAAAAGTTAAAATAAATACTTACCGACAAATTCCACCTCATAACCAGCCTGACGTCTCGGAGCAGGACGCTGTGCAGCCTGGGGATACTCATTCCCCTGATCCTGCTGCTCCTCCTCCTCCTCCTCCTCGTCAGCAGCATCAGCATGGGGTTGCTCATCCCCAGTAAAATGAGCCTCCTCAGTCCGCTCAATACCATCCTGCTCCATAAAACTGAGGATATCCTCCTCGCTCAAATCGTAGTCATGAATGCTGGGAAATGGCTCATCAGCATCATGATGAACCTCACTGGGTCCAGCTCTCTCAGGATCAACTGGGTCTTTCCCATGTCGACGAGGCATCCTAATAACAACAAATAGTAATTATTTATAAATGAAATAAAAAAAATTAATTTATAAGCTATAACATAATAAAATTAATAAAATAAAACATAAAATAAAAATTATTTATCAATAAATTACTATTTTTACCTGAAAATAAGGATCTGCAACTGAATCAGAACTCAAATATGTTTGTGAAGAAAATTCAGCAGAGCTTCGCTTCCAGAACGATTGAAGAAGTGAGAGTGTGGGGGGGTATATATAGACCGAAACTTTCTAGCGGTTAGGCACAAAACCGCTAGAAATTTCTAGCGGTTTTGTGCCTAACCGCTAGAAATTCCCAACGGTCATATGACCGTTGGGAATTTCTAGCGGTTCACGGCCGAACCGCTAGAGATTTCTAGCGGTTCGGCCGCGAACCGCTAGAAAGTCTGGCGGTTCGGCCGTGAACCGCCAGACTTTCTAGCGGTTCGCGGCCGAACCGCTAGAAATCTCTAGCGGTTCGGCCGTGAACCGCTAGAAATTTCTAAACTCCTCGGGGAATGAAAAAAATTTCTAGCGCTTCATGCATCAACCGCTAGAATTTTTCAGTGTCTAGCGGTTTATTAGCCTGAACCGCTAGAAAGTAAACGCTACAAATTTGGCGCCAAGTTCCCGCCAAAGCCCGGGGAGTTTTCTAGCTCTAATTTTCTAGCGGTTAGGGGTAACCGCTAGAAATGTGCGTTTAATGGTCAAACCGTCTGTATTTTGCAGCGGTTTTTGTAGGAACCGCTAGAAATATCTGAAATTTCTAGCGGTTTTCTTTAACCGCTAGAAAGGTTCCGCTGCTACTTTTACAATTTCTTGTAGTGCATGAGTTAGTCACTTTCCCTTATGAAGTTGGAGTTTATGACATCAAAGCTCCTATTGGTTTTGTCAGAAATGTGCCTCAAGCACTTGGAGACCCTAAGACTCCTGAGATGAAGCTTATGGTACTCTTCAATGATGATAACCCTAATGCATGTTCTATCATGTAAAATTATACTGCCTCCTCGACCCTTAATATAACATATAGTTTGTAATTCAATTTGAACTATAAACTATATCTTATATTAAGAACATGAGATAGTAACTAGATATGTTTCTTAATTATGTATTGTATGGAAGATAAGATGAGACTTTATTTGCGTAGTTTGTAGAAAGTGTTATTATTGTAAATTTTATGCTGATATCAATAAGTATTCGCCCAAAATGCAAAAACAAAATCTAGATACATATGAATGTCACTTTAATTAGAATTCAAAAAAAAATGTGCAAGGTATAATTTCTCATAAACGATAATTAATTATGCAAAACTAGACCCCTAATTTCTCACAGAGTGAACAACATTGATATTTATCCTTAAATATATAGTATACTTTTTTTATTTAGTTTGTATTATTATGAATAATAGAAGTTGTGAAATAGTTCTTAATATAAAAGCTAATTGACTAATTTGAATATATTAAGAAAATTAGTTAAACTAGTATTTGTAATAAATATGTGTTATCTTTCTTAAAATATCCTTGTTAATTAAGTGTATTATCTAGAACTACTATTATTATAAAGAATACTTTGAGGAAAAAATAGATAAATATGAGAAATAAAATGGATTTGTGTTTTATATTTAGGATCAACATAAAACTCAAACAAGTTTTTACAAGGATTAAAGGTAGTAGTAGACATAGAGAAAGCATGAAGATGAATAATACAAACAATAAAACAAGAAAGAGAGAATAGGAGAGAATAGGAGAAGCACATAAAGCTTTGTACTACCTCCGGTCCTTAATATAAAACCCTGTTTGACTTTTAGTTTGATCCTAATTATAAGACCCCAATCCATTTTGTCTCTCATATTTATGCATTTTTTTCCAAGATAGCCCTTCTAATAATGATAGTTCTAACTAATACACTTAATTAACAAGGATATTTTAGGAATGACAATACTTATTTATTACAAATAACTAATTTAACTTACTTTCTTAATCTCCTCAAATTAGTCAACTGGGTCTTATAATTAGAACCGGAGGTAGTATATGTCAACTCCAATCTAATCAAAATCTGCAAATTTGATGATAAAAAGAGATGTTGTGGGATGCCGGTGATCCTGAAAGATATAATGATCAGGCACTAAATATAAATATTTCTTTCAATGGGAATTTAAATTTTTGTCCGTAATGTTCTGAAGGACTAATTCTTTCTCTGTCCATGATTAGCCGATGGAGGCGACTAAAGGGCATGCATCGGGGCTCACGGTTTGGGTTCAGCCCAATTGGCCTAAAAGAATGACCGAACCAAATTGAATCAACGCCTAGGGTCTCCGTTTGTCCGTTACCACTGCAAGAAAATAAAAATAAAAATGAGTATTTCCAGATATTCCCTCTACTTTCATTTACAAGACTTGGGGGGAGTTTGACACTAATGTCTTGTTTCAATTTAGAAGACTTAAGAAAATTGTTGCAAAAATTAATAAAATATTCTGTCTCTTTTTTTTTTTTAAATCATTTTTTTAATATTCTTAGCATAATTAATGGTTGTTTTTGTCATATCGTTCTCCGAAAAAAAACTATTTTGCAATTAAAAAATAATTTTAATAATTTGTGAAAATTTTTTTATAATATATTTAACTAAGTTTATTAATTATAAACATTTAAACTGTTTTCCCATTTCAGCAGACGGTAGTCCAAGGTTTCCGGCCGTCTCTCGGCACGTTTACATCGCATTGCCATCTCGGCTCCTAGCTTCCAGAGTTCATACTCGTTCGCGCTCTCTCTCCGCCTTGCCTGAGCTCTAAGTAGTGGCCGCCGCAGCACCGCTCGTCCTCTCCAGTCTCCACCGCACGGCCTCGGTCTGCTCCTTTCATCTCTCCAGTCTGCGCGTTGCTTTCTGTTCTTCGTGTGTGCTGTATGCCTCGTGTTCGGGTAAGCTTCGTGCCCGCCTCTGTTGTTGGATTCTGGCAGATTTGAGCTCGTGTGTGGCCTCAGGTAAGCTTTCCCGCCTTTCGGCTTCGTCTATTGTCACGGCGTGTCCCTGTGAAAAATGTTGTTGGTTTCAAATGGCTGCTCAGAATTTCAGGTTGTATATGATTCTTGTGTATTAGTTCTGATTAAATTGTTTCTGGTTCGAAATGCTGTTAAAACACTATATTCTTAATGTTTGATCTTTTCAGAGCAAGATTGGGTTGTAAGGTCCAGTGTTAAAACACTGCATAAAATTTCAGGTTGTTTAAGTGGTGATGTTAGGCTCTGGACTGACTCTATTTTCTTTGGCCTGAAGATAAAACCTGACTTCTCAAACCAGAGCTTAGCTTCTTATATCTCTCGAATGAGAACGGTGGCATGACCGGCCAACACTCACAATGCCATTCATTTACGTTTTCCTCAGCGGAAGAGCGCCCCGCTTCCGTCTTAACCGTTGTCCATTCTTCGAGCTACCCTTTTACAGTCAAGCGTAATTCTGTTTTCTTCAGCACACGCCCTTGTATCCTCATTTGCAACGCCATCATTGTTCCCGTGTACTGTGGGAGTATAACGATGCATTTCTCTTTTCCAGTTTAAGGAGAGATGTTTGGAGTATGATGGGTTCTGAATGCAACATACAGAGTGCTTTGAACTTAGCATCGCACTGTTAGCATATTCGTATTCTAACTATTTGTATATTGTGTGCTCTTCTTGTGATTGAATTGAACGATTGCTGGTTATAATAGCAAATTTTAGAATTTGTGAGCTGATAGTTCAAGGGGTTCATAGACCTTGGGAAATGTAACCTTTTAATACCATTCCTTTGACCATGTCTATCCCCAACTGTCTCTGTCATGACCGATAAATTTCTCTCTATTTCCATGATATACATGCCCTTTTCTTTTGTTTGTTTGGTCAGTTTTGACAAGTAATTTTTTTTTCAAAAAAATTTGAGTTGGAACACAAGAAAAACCATCTGTGTAAAAAAATTTCTATCTATTTAAGATGCTAGCCTGTCCCGAATTTCACACCACTTTTCTCTCTGATTCTGTCTGCTTTTCAAATCAATATGTAACTGAACTATAGAATTTCCAAAACCCACTCATTATGAGGGAAGTACTTGTATGCTGGCCACAAGAGTGCAAAACTACCATATAAGGACTACTCCACAGTCTCCCTATCATCCAACTCTCTTCCTAGACCCTTCAGAATAAAAATTGAATATTTGGGCTGTCAATTTTTATGTTGAATGTTGCTTGCTTAGGGTCAATGTCATTTTTAAATGTCGTGCTTTGTTAATAATTTGGCGGAAATCTTTTAGCATTTACTTGAACCTATTTATCCAGTAATTAATGTTACTGATTTGCTTAATGTGGCATTGATTTATCCAGTAATTAATGTTACTCTTATGATATTGTTATTTTCTTATATATAGTTGAAAACCTTTGAAATGTATATTTACTAATGGAAAAAACTAGGATATCATCTTTTATTATATTTTCTGAGATGAGATATTAATTCAGTTTAGGGCACACGCACGCTCTGTTGTTATTAATTGCATTGTCTGGCTGAATGCAGTTGAAAATCAAAATTGGCTGCGTTATTTAATGAAGTATGAAGATTTTCTATGATTGCAGCAACTGGGTCTTGACTACAATATGCTGAAATGTCTTGGCCCAAAACCAAGCACAATCCTTACCATCTTACAAGGGTGCAATAATATCAAAAGGCTTAAAAAGATCCATGCCCATGTCATCATTAGTGGACTCCAGCACCATGTTACTATTTCCAACAGACTCTTGAACTTCTGTGCTGTCTCAGTCACAGGTTCCATGTCTTATGCTCAACATCTGTTCCATCATATGGACAACCCTTCAACTGAAGCATGGAACTCCATTATCAGAGGCTTTGCACAGGGCTCGTCACCTCACCAAGCACTTCTTTACTACAACGCCATGATTTCTGCTTCAGTTTCTCAACCTAACGGCTATATTTTCTCATTTGTTCTCAAGGCTTGTGAGAAGACTAAGGATGAAAAGAAATGTAGAGAAGTTCATGGATCTATAATCCGACGAGGGTATGAGAGAGATATTGTTGTTTGTACTAATCTGATGAGATCATACGCAGGGAATGAATTGATTGAGGGGGCACGAAGAGTTTTTGATGATATGTCTGACAGAGATTTGGTTTCTTGGAATTGTATGATATCGTGCTATTCTCAAGCAGGTTTTCATCAAGATGCTTTGACATTGTACAATCAAATGCGGGAAAAAAATGTTGGCTTGGATGGGTTTACACTTGTTGGCTTGGCTGCATCATGTGCTCATATTGGAGCTTTAAATGTTGGGATTCAAATGCACAAAATTGCTCGTAAAAAGGGTTTTATGTATGACATTTATGTTGCCAACGCTCTTATTGATATGTACGCAAAATGTGGAAGCTTAGACAATGCACTTTCTATCTTCAACAAGATGAAGAAGAAGGATGTGTTTACTTGGAACTCGATGATTGTTGGCTACGGAGTTCATGGTCACGGAGATAAAGCAATATCACTTTTTAAGCAGATGTTGATGGCTGGAATCCAGCCGAACTCTATCACATTTCTTGGTTTATTATGTGGATGTAGTCACCAGGGTTTAGTCCAGGAGGGTATTCGATATTTCCACTTGATGAGCTCCGACTTCAAGCTGAAACCCGAAGTCAAGCATTACGGTTGCATGGTGGATCTTTTTGGACGAGCGGGAAAACTTGATGAGGCACTTAAGCTTATAAAATCTTCTTTCTTTGATGCTCCGGTGCTTTGGCGCACATTACTCAGCTCTTGCAAAATTCATAGAAATGTGATGATTGGTGAAATTGCCATGAACAATCTGGTCCGACTTGGGATGTCAAATGCTGGTGATTATCTGCTAATGGCCACATTATACGCTGGAGCTAAGGATACAGAAGGGATCGCACGGATGAGAAAACTTATGCAAAGCCAAGGAATAAAGACCACCGTGGCCTGGAGCTGGATTGAGGTTGAAGATCAAATTTACAAGTTTCTTGTGAATGATAATTCACACCCTGAGTCTGACAACATTTATGCCAAACTAGAGGACATTATTCATCAGGCTGCCTTATTTGGCTATGTACAAGAGGAAGAGGTTATGGGCACATATCCTTTATTTAGTACTGAAATGAGTTTGGGGAGTTCAAGTTCTAAACATAGTGAGAAGTTGGCAATTGCCTTTGGGTTGATAAAAACACCAGCCAAATCATGTTTACGAATAATGAAGAATTTGAGGGTTTGTAATGATTGTCATACGTTTATAAAATATATTTCTAAAGCATTTGATCGGGAAATTATTGTTAGGGATAGAGTCAGGTTTCATCACTTCAGTAATGGATCATGTTCATGTGGAGACTATTGGTGAAAAGTCATATTTATCTTCAAAGCCTCTTAATTATTTTATCCACTTTTATGACATGGTTTTATAATTACTGAGATGCTGAACTTCAGCTTTGCACGAATCATTATCCTTCCTACTATTGATTATTTTAGAGATTACTATGATAGAACCCAAGATTATGACAGGCTTATAATTTCCACATTTGATTCTTGTTCGAAGGAGACTATAAAGTGTCTTATTATGAGAATCATTCCCATGATTAGCTAGTTTTACTTTGGACGGGAAGGTTGTCCCTTGGTGGTTGAGCTTGTAACTTCATGTTAGGACCTATATTAGGCTGCCTCTGGGATTGGATGAAGTGATGTTTGTTTTGGTGATCCATGCTCAGAAGTAGCCAAATTATCGAAGGTCATCATACTGGAAGAGGCTGCTTTCCGATTATCACCCTCACTAGAAGTCAAAGGAGCATTCTTGGAGGTTGAACTCGCACCTCTGGAAAAATCCACTAACAGGTTCATCCTCAGGACAGCTACTATTGAATCAAACTAGGTACTGGAGACCCTGGAGCTTGATTTCTTGCTTTTGAATCCGAGGGTCTTGTGACTTTAGAGCCAGGTTATAACTATGAATACTCATTTGTGTTTCCTTTACGTATGCATGAATGGTGATATCACAAAATGTAGATTGAAATGCATTTTACTGTATCTGCACAATTGGTTAGTTATTTCATTGGTGATTTCTTACTCTCCCCCTGTGTATTTCTCCTCTTACTCTCTCCCTGTGTATTTCTCCTCTTATTCTGAAGTTTTAGTCATTCTCCCATTACATTGCTACCTATTACATCTGTCCCACTCACTTTAACACTCTAAACCAAATAGCTGAAGGAAGAATATGAAATCAAACAGATAATGGTGTTCTGAGTACTTAGCACCTTTTGATGTAATCCAAGCATCATTGATCAGGTTGCCTTATTGGTATCCCTATCCATCGTGGAGTTTTACTTGGAAGTACTCTTCTAGTCCTAGGGAGAGAGAGAAGGTTTTTTCTTGGTCATATTTATAAGTCATCTCATTAAATTTTTAATATGAATGTACTATTTTATCCTTAGTTGTTATATTTTAAAAAAGAGTTAATGCAATTTAAGATTTTTATTAGCATGTCTGAAATATATTGGAGGAGTATATTCTTTAAGCCCAAACCAATCCACTTTATGTGAAGTATGAACATCACAGCAGAGATCATTGAGCTATGTAGTTAGCCTTTTTAATTGGTAAGCTAAATACTCCTCTGGTTTTTAATGTAAGACTTAATTAACTAATTTGGATATATTAAGAATATTAATTAAATTATTAAATATGATTTTTCCCCCTAAAACACACTGAGCATTTTCATTAATTCTTTTCCTTCCTCTCTTATTTAATTATTGTTGAGAGAATATCAATATGGTTGATTTGAAAAAAAAAAATTAATAAAAATGTTAAATATGTCTTGAGGCTAACATCAACTTCCCAATAGGTCCTACTTTGAAAGGAAGAGTACCACATTAACTCTCCTTTTGAATTCTTTTGTATTTTTTTCCTCTCCTTCTTAGCTTTCTATATATATAAATATATATATAAAATAAAACATCATGATTTTTTTTCTAATTTAGTGACATAGCAGAGACCTCTTTTCATTTATCCTATGGCTGATGCAACATTCACTTGCATATTAGTAAGAAGGAAGCACTGGAGCAATTTCTTTTTGTTTTGGATGCTTCTAGATAGGGTGTTCAAAATAGTCCTGTCCTGACTAGCCTGTCCCAATCCTGATCATATTGGGATGGAATGAACCCGTCTTGAAATTTTTTAGAGCGGGACAAACCAGAGCAGGACAAAAAATAGGACCAGGATAGACAGGACATGAGACGAGGTCTTTCTGTCCTGGTCTTATCGTGGTAGTAATTTTTTTATTTTTTTATCTTATTATAATTATTAAATGTTAAAAACACAATGTTTAAGGTATATGTAATATAAAATGTTTATATTTGTAGCTTTTAGCACATATGTAGTTGAATGGCTATTATTTATTTAGAGCTCTTATAATTGCTTATGATTTTTGGAATGGTGAAAATGAATTTTAGAGTTATTGTGTTACCAATTATTATTATTTGGGTTTTTGTTTAAGATTGCTAAGCCTAAAAAAATAAAAAGATACTTTCAAAAAAGCAAAACCCAAAGAACTAGAAATAGAAAGATTAAAAAAAAAATGAAAATCCATTGCAATAAGCTAATCATGAGCCAAAAATGTTTTTCAAAAAAAAAAAAAGCAAAAGGAAAATGGGACTGTCCCGACCAGGACTAGGACAGCAACAGCAACGGGACATAATCCTACTTCTAGAGGAATTGAGGTGAATTTTAAGAAAAAGCATGAGCTTGTCTTCTTGAACCCCAAATGCAGGCCGAAGCCTTCCAAATAAATGGGTTAGAGTACTTCAGTCCTAAAAACCAAAAAAAGGGTTAGAGTACATGACCTGCGATCTATCATACCACGCTCAACATTGCGAAAATTATAATAAAATCCCACCCACACAGGAAAATTAAATACAAAAAATTCTTTAAAATCATCAAATTATTTTCAAGTCTTAATAGACCTTATTGTAAAAAAATTTATTTATTTAATTATCAAATTATTTTTTTTACGTTTGCATTGACAACTTAAAGAACAGTTGTTGACAACTTAAAATGTAATGATTAATAACTTTTATAGGAGGTACCTTAAAAAAAAAAATAATTTGGTAATTGAACAAACAAATTCTCTTGCAATGAGGTTTTTTAAAATTTCAGAATAATTTAATAATTTTAAGAGATTTTTTTTGTATTTAATTTTTTTGAGTGGGACTCTATTGTAATTTTCCCTTCAACATTTCCAATTTTTTCCTCCATCCCACCAGAGCACCAAGCACCGTCTTCCCAGCTTGGTCCTTTTATTTTTGTTTAATACATTTAAATCTTTGATTTTACTTTTAAAAAAATTTGCTTGATTCAACCCTTAATTGCAATGTTTAATTTTGTCACTGATAAATAGATTTAAAATTTTAAAAAAAATAAAAGAGCCAAAAGTCTATGAAGACGCAAGGAGGAATGAGGAGAACGTTGGCTTTGTTTGGATCAATGTTGTAAAAGTGCTTATAAGCATTTTCACATAAATTGAGACAAAACTCTTCATATACTTATCTTGTATTTCATAAATCATGTTTAAAAAACTTGTTTGCCAGATGATCTCAATAAGCACCTAATGCGGATTGTACATGACCTGAGGTATGCTGGTTTAGATTTCGCAGCAAAATTGTTATCATCCAGGTTAGAACTTCTTGTTTCTCTTTCAACTTGTTGAAATTGCATGGTCGTTGAACCTGGCATACTATCTACTAGCATTCAGCAATGTCCGCTTTAACTTGATTCACTGATATTTATTTGTTGTAAAATGAGGTATTGTCACAAGTTGTTTATCAGTTAAATTTTAATTTACATAAGAATAATATATCCTGAAATAATAAATCATTTTTTTAATATTTCAATACCCCCGAGGATAGCAGGAATCATGAACGAAGACGCCTGGAAATCGGAAGAATTAGAAATACAAACCATCGATCCCCTCCTTTGTGTTCTCCGATGTCGGCGTGATTGTCAACTCCGACACCCATCACGCGACTACCTCCAGTGGGACTTCACCTTGTGATTGCGTATTCGTTAACTTTTTTTGCTATTGTAAGATCTGTTAATTGTTAATTGGAAACTGAGTACTTAGCAAGAGCTTGACAGTGTTAAGAACCCAGCTATTTCAGGCTCTTCTATTCGAAGTCAATAACTCAGATGCCAAACCTATTGAAAAAAGACAGTATCCATCGCAAACGAATAAATAGATATGGGAATGGGACATATCTGGAACCCGTTTCAGTGTAATAGACTCAGTATCCCGGCTCAGAAGACAAGTCTGATCTCATCGTCGGACCTCTCTCTCTTTGCAGCGATTAGAAGAAAAAGAGTGGAAAGGCAAGTTCACGCAATGATTTGATGTTCTTATAAGAACCCTATTTCTGCAGAAAGTAACAACAGATGAAGACGAAAACCAAGCAAATCTGATGAATAGGGATCAACGAGTTGTCGTTGAGGATGACAATGGATGATCCAGTATATCTCCTTAACCAAGGAAACACAGTAGAGATACGGCTTTTCTAGGGTTGGATCCCGATTCTCGGCTGTGATTTCCTTGATTAAGAAGATAGGAATGGATCAGAGATCTGAAGGAAAGAAGAAGACGTGAGACTGTGAAAATGGCAAAATGCCGTGTGGTAACTGAGGAGCCGGCGGCCGGGTGAAAGATGTGGGGTACATGAAATATATAGTGAAAGGGATGGTAAAATCCTAAGCCTAATATTTCATGGGCCAAAAGCCCAAAAGGCCAATCAACCCAATTCAAAGATTCTGGAATTGAGTGATTTTACCAATATGCCATCGTGATGCTTCTCTCTGTCTTCTATGTCCCAACCATTATCGATTCTGTACTGGAACAACGCCCACGCGGACACGCCCCTCCAGCTCTTGGCCTCGCGCGCGCCCACCCTCTCACGTCGACGCTACTCTTTCAGTCTTCCCTTTCCAAGGAGCCACTGCTAGCCCCTAATCCCCAGGGTTCCGTCTCCTCAGTGTGCGAGAACATGTGTTTGCGTGTTTCTCTCGTCCTTTATCCGGGTACTTCGATGCCGTGACTCCTCAGTATAACACGACAATCCAATTGTTTTTTCATGTTGTAATAATTGAACTTCTGGATTCGCCATTGGCAATAGTGAGTTTTGATGGCGTAGCTTTCCGATGTATAGCTCAAATTCGCGACTTTTGGGTGCTCTACATCAAAACATCAACAGAACCTAAAAACTGAACCTGGGAAATGAGGAGGAAGTAGTTGAGTTGGAACCTTCCTGTATCTTATTCCTCCTTCTGTTTGGTAAAATCTACGAAAGTTTTAGTAATGACGTTGGGAATGCAACATACAAAACCGCTAAAAGTTGTTTTTATCCTTTTTCTTCCCGGACTTTTTGTTTCTCCCCCAATTATGAATTGCACAAATCATTGCTTTCAGATAGTTTTTTTCCTCCTTTCTTGATGGTTCTTCTTGAGAGCAAAATGCAGACACTTTGTTCACATCTTTCCTGTTTTTAACTTGTTACCATTGCCATTCTATCTTCCATGAATTGTTTTTCATTATGGTCTTCCATTTGGATCTTAGGGTTGGTATATATGATTTGTTAACCAGTACTTGATACTTCTTACACCTACATTTAAATGAAATTGGTGGCATAATTGTGTACAGGTCTATTGGGAGTGGGGGAAATGGAAGCATGGATGGGTTTCACATGATTTTGCTCACTTCCTTTTGTTAAATCAAATTAACCTGGTCTCTACATTCTTGTTTTCATTTGAAGCAGCTTTGGTGTGCAAGATTGTAGCATAGCTTGAACTCTGGAGCAAGTGGGTCAATCTGCAACTCCTCTCAAATGGGCCTCATCCAGCTAGCACGAGTATCCAGAAGATTCACCATTACCAGCTTCGTCAACTCTCCAAATCTTTTCCCTGCTCCTAGTTCTCATTGTTGTTCTATTCCATCCATTCCTAGTTCCCTACTTTCTGTAGGAAGTTCAATTTTCTATCAATATGTGAAACCCTGGAGCAAAACACATTTGGATCTGTAAGAAATCATCCTTCACAGGGCTACCACACCTCCATTAGTGATAGCATAATGCAAGCAGAAGCATTTTCTGAAGCCAAAGACATGAACCCAGATAATGTTAAAGGTCTCACAGCTGAATCGATATGTAAAATTTTATCAAGCAGACTAGTTCTAGTGTTGAGGAGTCTCTCAGTAATATTTCAGTGGAGGTTTCACCAGAACTGGTAGTTGAGGTCTTAAAGAAGCTAAGCAATGCTGGTATTCTTGCACTATTGTTCTTTCGTTGGGCAGAGAAGCAAAAAGGGTTCAAATACAGTACAGAGAGCTACAACGCTTTGATTGAGGCATTGGGTAAGATTAAACAGTTCAAGATGGTATGGAATATGGTTAATGACATGAAACATAAAAAGTTGTTGACTAAAGACACTTTTGCATTGGTTGCACGGAGATATGCAAGGGCTAGAAAAGTCAAAGAAGCAGTGGAGACATTTGAGAAGATGGAGCAGTTTGGGATGAAGCTGGAAGTTTCAGATTTTAATAGATTGATTGATGTTTTGAGCAAGTCAAGGTGTATTGAGAAAGCGCAAGAGTTATTTGACAAAATGAAGAAAAACAGGTTTGCACCTGATGTCAAGTCCTACACAATATTGCTAGAAGGGTGGGGTCAGCAACAAAATTTGCTGAGGCTCAATGAGGTCTATCGGGAGATGAAGGATGAAGGTTTTGAGCCAGATATTGTTAGCTATGGCATTATCATCAGTGCATATTGTAAGGCTAGAAAATATGATGCAGCTATTGAGTTCTATCATGAGTTGGAAGCCAAAAATTTGAGGCCTACTCCCCATATATTCTGTACTTTGATTAATGGGTTGGGTTCTGATAAGAGATTGGATGAGGCTCTCAATTTTTTTGAAAAATTCAAGGCTAGTGGTTTTGCCCCAGAAGTACCAACCTATAATGCTGTCGTTGGGGCTTATTGCTGGTCAATGAAGATGTATGAGGCATACAGGATGATTGATGAAATGAAAAAATGTGGGGTTGGTCCAAATTCTCGAACATTTGACATAATTCTACATCACTTGATAAAGGCTCGAAAAACAAAGGAAGCTTTCTTAGTTTTCCAGAGAATGAGTAGTGACTCCAGTTGTGAGCCTACTGTGAGCACTTACGAGATCATAGTGAGGATGTTTTGTAATGAAGAACGAGTTGATATGGCAATCAGAGTTTGGGATCAGATGAAGATTAAGGGTATTCTTCCCGGAATGCATATGTTTTCCACCTTAATCAATGCATTACGCCTTGACAACAGATTAGACGACGCTTGCAGATACTTTCAAGAGATGTTGGATGTAGGCATTCGACCTCCTGGCCCAATGTTTAGTAACTTGAAACACGCTCTTCTTGATGGAGGCAGGGAGAATACAGCTAAACTATTGTCTCAACAGATTGATAAAATTAGGAAAACTCCTATCATTGGATGACGCTGGAATATACATCACAAGAATCCCAAGGGACGCCTAAGGTCATCTCATCCATCTGTACCAGTCATTGAGCTATTTTTGGTGTGTGATCCACTAAGGATCATTGCCTAGGTGGGCGGCCTCTGAGGAGGGCCAAAGGAAGAAGCTTTTCGGAAATTTGATCCGTTGTATCTTGCCAAACAACTGACCCTTCTCTTACATTTGCCTTTCCACTGAATACTTCAGCCGTTCTAACCTCCAAGTTGGTCACCCTAGAGATGAGTTCTCTTCCATTGTTTCCCATCTCCAATCACCATTGCATTACATGTTTTCTCCGGAAAATATCAGCTTTTGTGGTTTCTCTTCTGTTGACAACAGCTGAACTGCGGGTTATTATCACTGTTTGCATTCTGCATGGAATGAAGGTTCCATAAAGGCTCTGATCTCCATTGATATCTTCGGTAGATATATGGCAAATCGGTAGGGACTATAGTTCAGTAAGACCCTTTCCGGCGGCTGATAAATGAAATTAGAGGCTGATTGGCATGTTCAGATCTGACTTATAGCAGTGAAGTCAGCTCCTGCACACGGACTGGTTGGCAAAATCTCTTCTCCGTTACTACCTCCGGTTCTTAATAAAAGACCTTATTTAATTTTTGTTTTAATCCTAAATATAAGATCCTAATCCATTTTATCTCTCATATTTATTCATTTTTTTTCCAAATAATCATTCTAATAATGATAGTTCTAACAAACAAATTTGATTATTAGGAATATTTTAGGAAACACAATACATATTTATTACAAATAGCTAATTTAACTTATTTTCTTAATCTATTCAAATTAGTCAATTAAATTTTATATTTAGAACCAGAGATAGTATTACTTTCGATTCTTAATATAAGAGATAATTGACTAATTTGAGTAGATTAAAAAAAATTAGTTAAATTGGTTATGTGTAATAAATATATGTTTCTGTTAAAATATTATTGCTAATAAAATATATTGGATAGAACTATTATTATTATAAGGAATAATTAATCTCCAGGTCCTTATAGTTTCATATGATTTTTAATTAGGTTTCTATAAAAAAAATTTCTTCTTATCAGATTCTTTTACTTACACGTGTATTTAATTATGTCTCTTTATTTTTTTTATCAAGTTCTTATAATTTCACTTATTTTTTAATTAGTCTTTTTTAGTTTTAAACAAATTATTTATTAACTTTATTCTTTAAACTTGATTTTATTTTTAAATTAATAATTAGATAATTAGATTAAATAATTAATATAATCATCTAGTAATTAATAATTAATCGGAATAATCAATTATACTTAACTATAAATTATTTATAATTATATTCTAATTTTAGAAAATTTTACTACTATAATTTGAATTTTATAGTAATAAAAATGAAAATTGAAAAATAAATAATATATACTTTTAACTAAAAATTTTAAAAAAATATTAATATAAGATTATTATAATAATTTATTATTTATAAAATAAAGAATAAAAATTATAAAGACCTAATTAAAAAAAAGATAAAACAATAAGGATCTGATAAAAAGAAAAAAATTATAAGACACATGATTAAAAACATATGAAATTATAAAGACTTAATAAAAAGAAAAAGAAATCATAAGGACCTGATTACAAATAGGTCAAAACTATAAGGATTTGTATATTAATTATCTCTTATTATAAGACTACTTAAAAAATAAATAAATATAAATAATAAAATAAATTGGGGTTTTATATTTAAATAAAATAAAAGTAAAATGAACTCGTATATCAAAAATTGGAGGTAGTATTATATTTTTAGTGTAATTTTGAACCTTTAAGTCAAAATTTGATAATTCAAATTAAAACTAATTAGAGATCCATCACTTAAGCCATTTGAGGATCGATCTTCAGTTCATAACGCCAAACCATTACCAATCTCCTAAAACCTGATCGAGGCAAAGGAAATCCAAAATATGGAATATAAGCAAAGAAAAGCATCAAATTGTGCATTTTACGGCACTCAAATTCCACTTTTACCCATCATAATATCTTATCTGGAAATCGACACGCGTCACTTAATGGCCGCTTAGCTTAGATGCCGTCTTGAAAAGCCGAACAAGGCTCCGACGAAACGATGTCGTTTCCGTCCTTCCCTGTACTCCTTTCTCCGTTTTTGGCATTTTCAGTTATCAGCAAGGAGGTTCAGCAGAGAACGTAGTTCACTGCGAGACGAAAGGAAAAAGAGAAGCAATTACTGGAAGAACATAATGGTGGCTTTTGGCGGGAAAAAGTTGCGCCAAATGGTTTCAGGCTTCGGTGGTAACGGTCTCGGCCAGGTCCTCGCTGCTGTGGCAGTGACCGTCCTTGTCCGCCTCTTCTCTGGTCCCGGTCCCGTGTTGCCCCCAGAAACCGATAATGAGGACCAGGGAGATGGGGCGAATGATGATATTGATGAAGGGGAGAGCGAAGGTCCGGTTTCGGGCAAAGTTTTTCCGGTCACAATCCGGTGGAGCGACATCACCTGCTCTCTTTCTGATAAATCCTCCAAGTCTGTGAGTTTTCTGTCTTCTTACTCTGTGACGCTTCGTGAATGCTCTGTTCAGTTGTTATGTTAGGAAATTGGAAATTACGGATATTACGCTTTATTTTATGAAGAGGACAGTTTGTAAGTTGAAATCATTCTTTACAATGGTAATTGTAATTTTAAATTGATAGGTGAGATTTTTGCTCAAAAATGTGAGCGGAGAAGCGAAGCCTGGAAGATTATTAGCTATAATGGGCCCGTCGGGTTCTGGAAAAACTACATTGCTCAATGTTCTTGCGGGTCAGCTAGCAGCATCTCCCCGGCTGCATCTGTCAGGCCTTTTGGAGTTCAATGGCAGGCCTAGTTCAAAGAGAAGTTATAAGTAGGCTTGTTAGCAACTTCTGTTTCCTGCTTTTTCTTGTGATTCCTTTATCTAAGGATAAGAGTTCTTATTTTTGTCATGGCTGTAGGTTTGCTTATGTGAGACAGGAGGATCTGTTTTTCTCGCAGCTCACAGTGCGAGAAACATTGTCGCTTGCTACAGAGCTCCAGCTGCCTGGCATATCTTCCGCGGAAGAGAGGGATGAATATGTGAAAAATCTCTTGTTCAAGCTAGGATTGGTAAGATGCCCTCATATGTTGTAATTTTTAATGGGTTAAAGTGATCGCTGATTATTAACTATGGATGCTGTCTGTCTTCATATCATATATTTAAATAATTCTACTCTACTCCTATGGTACTCATATTTACCCGCTTTGGCAACTTGAATCCCTTTCTTCTGAAGGTCAGCTGCGCTGATACCATTGTCGGTGATGCCAAAGTTCGGGGAATTAGTGGTGGTGAAAAGAAACGCTTATCTTTGGCGTGTGAGCTTCTTGCAAGCCCGTCTGTTATATTTGCTGATGAACCAACTACCGGTAAGTATGCCTCTCCATTATTTGCCTAGCAACAGATCTGAGTTCTGCATATAATATAGCTTAATACGTGGCTAATATAATACCCTGTGGGCACTGCTCAATATTTTTTATTTTTTTGAATTAAGTATACTGTAACATTATCTACGTAGGCACTGCTTCCTTGCTGCATTCAATTAATGTTTAACGTAATAATCTGAAGCTTATGCGTTAATGACTAAATGGCTTAACCATTCTCATAGCTTTTGACAAAATCTGAAGCTAAACTCCATTTTTTTTTTCCCTGGCAACAGAAGTTAAACTCCAAATTATAACTTGTTTTTTGTTCTTTCATTCATCACTAATTTACTTGTGGTGCTTCCAGGACTTGATGCCTTTCAGGCTGAGAAAGTGGTGGAAACTCTCCAACACCTTGCACAAGATGGTCATACAGTAATTTGTTCTATTCATCAGCCAAGAGGTTCAGTGTATAACAAATTTGATGACATCGTCTTGCTAACTGAGGGTTCACTTGTTTATGCTGGCCCTGCGCGTGATGAACCATTGGCATACTTCTCAAAACTTGGGTTGTCATTCTAACCTTCTCTGTTTTATTCAATCGTACATTTTTCATAGGGGGGTGTCTTTTGAAAAGAAAATGTAATAATAATAATTTATGGATGTGGTGTCTGAGTTAATTTGTCAGAAATTTAAATTTTACACTTTGCTGTATAGAGTTTTTGCTTGAAACTGATCATAATGTTGAGATAATTCACTTTTCTAGTTTGACTTCATAAATTTATACCAATTCTTGTAGTGAACTATTAAAATTACCATGATTCAGGTAACAAACCAGTGTGAGAAAAGTGAGGGTCTTCTTGTTTTTTTTTTGGTCGAGCATTAATGGAAGTTACGCTTATGTAAGGGAAAAATAATTTGCAAATGTTTCTATTTTGGCTTCAAGTTGAGAAAATATTTTGCAATAGTGTGAATACTTGTTTTTCATTGTTTTTTTATTTGAGTTATACAAACCGTTGTTGCAAAAAAAAAAAAAAAATGTAGAAGTGTTGTTTCTTTGGAGACACATGCTCCCTTTGACTTGTTCAATATTTTTTTGTTAATATTTTGACAGTGCATTGTTTATCTGTTCAAGTCAGCGTTACAGCTATACATCTTGTACAGTTAGTTCTGAACGGATGGTTGACTGTTGTTTATGTAACAGGTACCATTGCCCTGATCATGTGAATCCTGCTGAATTTTTGGCTGATCTTATATCCATTGACTACAGTTCTACTGAAAGTGTTTATTCCTCTCAGAAGAGAATTGATAGTCTTGTTGAGTCATTTTCTGAAAGACTTTCTACGATAATATATGCAACTCCAATTACCAAAGAAGTGCTTCACAAAAATGGAAAGAGAATTGGGATGAGAACTGTAGCTAAGAAGAAAGGAGGTTGGTGGAACAGTTCTGGTTGCTCCTCAGGCGAGCATGGATGCAGGTCTGCCTATGTATTGACTTTCTGTGTAAAGTGCATGATAGGACCTGCATAGGATTATTTTTGCCTTGAAATAAAAGATTAATGAGGCTTGATCATGTCATTTGGCAAGACACGATTAGAAAGATGGCATAAGTATCAATTCTCCTTTTCACATCTTGTTTTATGATAAATCTGCTTCTTCTCCCACCTTACCTTTGGTTTCAACATCAGTTATTTTCTTCATGTCTTCATCCCTGATTAACCTGGCTATGAATCAAAATTCTAGATATGCATATAATTAATTGATTCGGTCTTTCTCATGTAAGTAGAGTGGAACTTATGTTTCTTATTTTCTTTGAAAATTCTAATGGTTGACTAGGCTTCCCGTGATGGACCAACAAACAAAGTTCGAGCAAGGATGTCAATTGCCTCAGCTGTTATTTTTGGTTCGGTTTTCTGGAGAATGGGGAGATCTCAGACTTCAATACAAGACAGAATGGGATTGCTTCAGGTTGTTTGGTTGTTTTTGTTCTTTCATTCCTATTTCCTGATTGGCTGCTAATCTACAGGGCAGAGGGACTTTGAAATTTTTCAATGCATTTTTGTCTGTTAGTCTACATGATTCCATTGGGTGTATGTCTTTAAATTTTGGTGGGACTTCTGCAAACTTACGAGAGAGTTTGGCAACCATGAGTACGAACTATTAAATTGAGCAGGCACAAATTGTATCCATAATTTTGATAGTCACTAGAATTAC